TGATGGTGCCAACTTGGGCCAGTGAAGCAATGTCCTCCACAACTAGACTGAAGAACAAAAGGACAGCAACTTGTCTGTTCCCTTTTCCCCAATTCCCCAGCACTGTTCCCATCCCCACAATTACCCAATAAAAATCTTAAAAAAAAAAAATTAAACTTCAAGAAATTATTCATCAAGACTACTCAGTGGTGGTGGTAGATGAGGGTAAAAGGGATCAAATATATGGTAATGGAAGGAGAACTGACTCTGGGTGGTAAACACACAATGTGATATATAGATGATGTATTATAGAATTGTACACCTGAAACCTATGTAACTTTACCAATAATTGTCACCCCAATAAACTTTAATTTAAAAAAAAAGACTATTCAATGGGAAAAGAATGGTCTTTTCAACAAATGGTGCTGGGACAACTGGGTAGCCACATGCAAAAGAATAAAATTGGATCTCTAACACGCCATCTACAAAAATTAACTAAAACTGGGTCAAAGGCTCAAATATAAAAGCTGAAACTACAAAACTCTTAGAAGAAAACATAAGATAAATCTTTGTGACCTTTGATTAGGCAATGGCTTCTTAGTTATGACACCAAAAGCATAAATGACAAAAAAATAAATTAGACTTCATTAATATTCAACATTAAAAACTTCTGTGCTTCAAAGGATACCATTAAGAAAGTGATGGAAGGAAATATTTACAAATCACATATCTAATAACCTGTACCCAGAATATATAAAGAATTTTTAGAACTCAATACTAAAATATAAATAACCCAATGAAAACGTGGGCAAAGGATCTGATAGACACTCCAAAGATATACAAATGACCTATAAGCACAACATCACTCATTACCAGGAAAATGCAAATCCCTTATGAGTTACTACTTCACACTCACTATGATGGTTATCATCAATAAGATAATAACAAGTGTTGGAGAGAATGTGGAGAAATTAGAATCCTCTTAGACTGCTAATGGGAATGTATAATAAAACGGTGCCGGCATATCTCTAGATTACCTTTCATATTATTTGACTTCTCTACCCTACCCCACCCCCACACCCTCCATGTGCATACATTACTTTAGAAAACTTTCTATTTCAGAAAATCAGGGAGGCCTTTGCAGAGAAGTCCACATGGAGTTGAAGCTGTCCCATTGGTTGCACAGGCCAATCACTAGGAAAGACTTAAGCTCATATAAGAAATCTAGACTCATCCTTTCCATCCCTTTGTGCTTTCTCAAATGTTGCATTTGGCGACATTCCCACCTGGTTTGGGCAATACTAAGCTGGTAGCTCCTGGTGGCTTGGGCAGACCTTGCTTAGGAGATGACAAAATGTCAGCAGAGTTGTGGCTGGGCAGGGCATAGGATGGCGGTGGCTGGTATTTCCTTTCTGCTCAGGCCCTGTCCTTGCCTGTAAACTTCATGTCATTGATTTTATGCTGCGGAAGGTTTGTTTGTGTCCCTTCCTTCCAGCTTATTGCTTGTTCCAGAAAGCTGAGTCTGCTGGTTATGCAATCCTGGATAAGTGAGGAATACTCCAACCTGAACATGGTTGTTTACTTCAAAGATGCCCTCTCTAATTCTCCCTTCTCATCACTGGGCAAGTTTTGCTACCAAGAAGCCACAAAATGGAAAATCCTGAACAGAGATGATCATCAGCTGAGAGAGACCCAATGTGCCCTGCACTGCGTTCCCACTGCAAACACGGACTTCTAGAAAGGGCTCTGTCCCTCGAGTCCTGTTTACTCTACATCCAGGTCATGTGAAACACTGAGTCCCATAACTTCTTAATTTCTTTTTTGGCAGGGATATGGGGCATAAAGTAAAGCATTGGTCTCTAAAACAGGCAACTGTGAGCTGGATTTTGAGGCTTAGTATCCATGGCAGCAGCCAGACTGCTAAACTGCCTAATGATGTTCCCAGATGCCTGATGCCATATCACCTCTGGAACAAAGAGGACTGTCCAGGACAGACACATACAGTAGACATCCAATACATAATTGTAAAGTGAATGACAGGATAAAAATCCTAAGCTGAGGAAAAGACTTAAAACAGTAATTGCAGACTTTTTCAGCAATACGCTTCTTTTTTTCAAAGTAATTCTCAATCAGAAATACATGAAACAGCAAAGAGAAGAGCTGCCCTGTTTGACGTGAACACAAAGAGAAGCTGATTCCTCTAGAGCTCTCTGGTCCTCTTTCCCTCTTGTGGGTGCTTGTGTTTGGCCAAGTGGACTGTGATGCCACAGCCCCATGGTGGCAAACACAGAGACGACGTAGTGCAGTGACAGCCTCTTCTCTCCATTTGAGGCAACCCACAGGGAGGGGGACCACATAGCCCAGTCTGTTCCCCTAACTAAATTCTTAATGGCACCACCGTTCACTCCCAAATATATTCCGGTTTGAGCAATACATTATCTGGATGCACTACCCGTAAGGCTCTCTGCTCTAGCAGAGCCTAAGGCTGTGCTGAACACAATTTGAAAACCACAGACTTAAATAAGAAAAAAATTCATTCAGGAAATCATTTGTTGAGTGCCATGTATGAGCTATCTGTGGGTATGCTCCTGCCACTGTGTAGGAAATCCAACCATGTTTCAAATTTTGGAGGAGCATTAACTCTTCTGATCATTAGAAGCCCAGCAGTGGAATACGCGTAGCCTGGTGGGCAAGAGGGACATTGCCCAGAGTCCTTGGTCGCCCATCGATTTTCTCTGTGTGTGCCCTTCAGCTTTTTATTGTCAAACCAGACAGAAGGGCCTTCAGCCTCAGAGTAAACCTAAACTGTGAAGCTGCTAAAGTCCCAGACATGTGGGCATCCCAAGCGCCTCTCAGTGCATGCCAGCGGTGCCATGATGACTGTCTCAGCAGCCCTTGAGGCCACTGCGGCCAGGGCAGGAGTGCCCGATGGGAGTGTCCCAGATATGGGGCACCCCCAACCTGAGCTGTGAACACAGAAACCTCCTCAGTGCCAACCCTGTGGGGTTGGCCACAAAAGGGTGAGGCAATTCAATGAAGAAGAGAACAGAGGAAAGGAAATGGGAGAGCTGAAGATGGGAGGAGAGAGACGAGAAGGAAAGAAGAGAGGGGTTAATAGAACATCTATACTCCCATACTTCACCTTCATTTTCAGCAGCTGGTTTTCAACTTCTGCTACCTCTAACTGCCTCTGCTTTTCCCGCAGCTTGTTCATAGATGCTTCATACGTCTGCTGCAAATTTCTGATTTGATCCTTAATATCGCTATTTTCCAAAGTAACATCCACGAGTGTTTTCTAGTGGGATGAAAATAAAAACAAATCCAGGTCAAGTGGTGAGAGTACACATGGCCAGAGTCATGCACCCGGATATCCCTTTGTCACTAGTCATCGAGGTAGGTGCCAGACCACAGGAGCTGCAAGCCTGGGACCTGGTGTTAGAGGGGCTGAGTGCCCCCACAGTGGTCAAGAGGTCTGCCACCCTGGGGCTGGGTGGGCCACGAACCTCCCCCATAACACCCCATAGCTGCTGCCAATCCCACAGGCCACTGCTTAGGATGGAAGGAAATGCATTAAAATGGAGTCTTTCCAAAGANCTCTTGAGTCCTTATGTCTAAAAAGAGCCCATGAATGTTATTTATCCCTTGACTAGGAGCTCAGAGTATCACTGTGTATGCCAACAGTGTAAAGGGAATTGAGAACAGATCTGGAGTTGAACGCAAAATGCCCAAATCGTTCTCCCATATTGCAATGCACCAGCTTAGTCCATCATTCAGCACATTTATTAACCCTGTAAAGACACAAGATAAGGCACACACAGAGCCCCTACCTTCAAAGAACTTATGCTCTACAGGAGAAGCGAAGATAGGAGACGTGCAGCCCCACTCTCATAACAGGTACAAGAGACCACCACTGCAAAGAGCAGAGAGAGCGTGGGCTTCCCAAGGGCAGGGACACTCTGGCTGTGGGAATGGGAGAGACTTCATCCATGGAGAGGGTGGCATTTTCAGGGCTCTTTGGGAGCGAGCCTAGGCAGGATCAAGGACAGGGAAGGAGAAAATTTCAGGTAGAGGGCAGCCAAGTGGAGTGAGGAGAGGCACAGCTGCAGGTAAGCCCTGGATCTGCTAGGAAGCTGGAAAATGGTCAGATTAGCTGGAAAGAGGGGTGTATTTAGAGCTAGAGATCAGGGACTATTCTGAAGAGGGAGGGGAATGAATAAAGGAAAGGAGAGAGAAGGGAAGGGAGTGAATGGGCAAACAATAAATTCCTTGACCCCTTACCCAGTAGTTACTCCACTAACTCACCTCCAAGCAGAAGCTCTACTATTTAAACCTCACCAACAGTGATGAACCAAAAACTGTTATTTTACCGGCAGCTATAACATGCTCACCAGGAGAGCCTCTTTCTCGGTGCTGTGCTTCTGCTGCTCTTCCTGCAGCTTTTCCTCGTACTGGCTGTACAGCTTCTTGGTCATCTCTCTCATCACCTCAGCATTGGCTTCTTGGGAGGACTCCACCTACAAAGAGACTCATTTCAGAGCGACAGCTTTTGGAGGTTCCAGGGCATCAGCTCCCTTCAGTCTGTGTGGACGCACACAGTGAACCCATCGACCAGGGCTCTGCAGTGGACAGAAGCAGCAGGAACTAACGGGGAAAGGGAAAGAAGGCAGAGGAAAGGGGTGAACAGGTGCACAGAAAATAAAAAGTGGCTCTTACCTTGTACTAATCTACTTGATTTTATCAGGAAAAGCTGTTCCACATGAGTAAATTTTTCAAAAGGCAGAAACATACCAAAGCATCAATTCCAATCCCCCAAATTTAGCCATTTTTAAATTGAATTCTCTCTAAAATGTGACCATGCTCCTTTATTAACTCCTTTCTTCAATGACTTCTCCTAATGATCTTCCGATCCTGAAACTTTTCTATTTTTTATTCTATCAGTTTTAATAAACCTTTTTCTCTGGATAATAGGCCCATACCCTATGAGGTCCTGGAAAGATATGGATTTTTTAAATCCTTGAGTATTCTGTTGTGGGCTGAGAAGTAAGATCACCACATTATTAGAATTGGGTCAGAGTAGAATCAACTATCAAGTTAAAAAATAAAAAGTTTACCTGTAGGAGGAAGCAGGGAATAAGAGAGGAAAGCAGATATT